GATGATGTCATAATGAGGGGACAGGTACCCAGGTTAGTAACGTGTTAATGAGTGATGATGTCATAATGAGGGGACAGGTACCCAGGTTAGTAACGTGTTAATGAGTGATGATGTCATAATGAGGGGACAGGTACCCAGGTTGGTAAAGTGTTAATGAGTGATGATGTCATAATGAGGGGACAGGTACCCAGGTTGGTAAAGTGTTAATGAGTGATGCTGTCATAATGAGGGGACAGGTACCCAGGTTGGTAAAGTGTTAATGAGTGATGATGTCATAATGAGGGGACAGGTACCCAGGTTGGTAAAGTGTTAATGAGTGATGATGTCATAATGAGGGGACAGGTACCCAGGTTGGTAAAGTGTTAATGAGTGATGATGTCATAATGAGGGGACAGGTACCCAGGTTGGTAAAGTGTTAATGAGTGATGATGTCATAATGAGGGACAGGTACCCAGGTTAGTAAACGTGTTAATGAGTGATGATGTCATAATGAGGGGACAGGTACCCAGGTTAGTAACGTGTTAATGAGTGATGATGTCATAATGAGGGGACAGGTACCCAGGTTGGTAAAGTGTTAATGAGTGATGATGTCATAATGAGGGGACAGGTACCAGGTTGGTAAAGTGTTAATGAGTGATGATGTCATAATGAGGGGACAGGTACCCAGGTTGGTAAAGTTTTAATGAGTGATGATGTCATAATGAGGGGAAAGGTACCCAGGTTAGTAACGTGTTAATGAGTGATGATGTCATAATGAGGGGACAGGTACCCAGGTTGGTAAAGTGTTAATGAGTGATGATGTCATAATGAGGGGACAGGTACCCAGGTTGGTAAAGTGTTAATGAGTGATGATGTCATAATGAGGGGACAGGTACCCAGGTTGGTAAAGTGTTAATGAGTGATGATGTCATAATGAGGGGACAGGTACCCAGGTTGGTAAAGTGTTAATGAGTGATGATGTCATAATGAGGGGACAGGTACCCAGGTTGGTAACGTGTTAATGAGTGAATGATGTCATAATGAGGGGACAGGTACCCAGGTTGGTAAAGTGTTAATGAGTGATGATGTCATAATGAGGGGACAGGTACCCAGGTTGGTAAAGTCTTAATGAGTGATGATGTCATAATGAGGGGACAGGTACCCAGGTTGGTAAAGTGTTAATGAGTGATGATGTCATAATGAGGGGACAGGTACCCAGGTTGGTAAAGTGTTAATGAGTGATGATGTCATAATGAGGGGACAGGTACCCAGGTTGGTAACGTGTTAATGAGTGATGATGTCATAATGAGGGGACAGGTACCCAGGTTAGTAACGTGTTAATGAGTGATGATGTCATATTGAGGGACCAAGTACCCAGGTTAGTAACGTGTTAATGAGTGATGATGTCATAATGAGGGACAGGTACCCAGGTTAGTAACGTGTTAATGAGTGATGATGTCATAATGAGGGGACAGGTACCCAGGTTAGTAACGTGTTAATGAGTGATGATGTCATAATGAGGGGACAGGTACCCAGGTTGGTAAAGTGTTAATGAGTGATGATGTCATAATGAGGGGACAGGTACCCAGGTTAGTAACGTGTTAATGAGTGATGATGTCATAATGAGGGGACAGGTACCCAGGTTGGTAAAGTGTTAATGAGTGATGATGTCATAATGAGGGGACAGGTACCCAGGTTGGTAAAGTGTTAATGAGTGATGATGTCATAATGAGGGGACAGGTACCCAGGTTGGTAAAGTCTTAATGAGTGATGATGTCATAATGAGGGGACAGGTACCCAGGTTAGTAACGTGTTAATGAGTGATGATGTCATAATGAGGGGACAGGTACCCAGGTTGGTAAAGTGTTAATGAGTGATGATGTCATAATGAGGGGACAGGTACCCAGGTTGGTAACATGTTAATGAGTGATGATGTCATAATGAGGGGACAGGTACCCAGGTTGGTAAAGTGTTAATGAGTGATGATGTCATAATGAGGGGACAGGTACCCAGGTTGGTAAAGTCTTAATGAGTGACTATGTCATAATGAGGGGACAGGTACCCAGGTTAGTAACGTGTTAATGAGTGATGATGTCATAATGAGGGGAAAGGTACCCAGGTTAGTAACGTGTTAATGAGTGATGATGTCATAATGAGGGGACAGGTACAACTATTTCTATTGGGTTCTTTTATTTGGGGTTATGTACATTGTCAGAATAAGTGAGAAATGGATTTAACTTCTGTTAGACAGCTATCATACTGAATAAATATTTATGCAAAAATGTATGGCATTAATAATGTATATCTAATTACATTTAAAAATGTATGGCATTAATAATGTATATCTAATTACATTAACTGTGAATGTCTTTCATTTTATTTAAAATGAACAATTACATACAACATTTTCCATAAAAAAGTTGATTCAAGAACAAATCTCTGTTATTAGATCAGTACTTTTCTTATATGACTATTATTGCTACATTTGAAAGGTCTTTACCAGCTTTGGAATTATATATATATATATAGCACCTTCTGCCATCCCATCTCTACTGACAATCATTAACACTTAGATTTTATGATATCGTAAGCATCGTCAGTGATTGACTTGAACACTGAGAATGTATTAATTAACTTCAGACATTTTCATATACAAATGTGATCATACACCAACACACTTTTTAGATATATACATTTTTCACACACAACGCACAACCATTTACTAAATTAAACCATATCCCATCATAATACGAGCAAATAAAAAGGCACAACAATAAATATATTGTGTGTGTGTGTGTGTGTGTGTGTGTGTGTGGGGGGGGGGTTGTTAAGATCCAGGTCCAATGGGGGCAGAGGGGAGAGGTGGGTTCAGCATCCTACAGGAAATGTAATTTGCATGTAATATTATTTATTAATATGGAATAATTTAACTGGAGTTTGTTATCCTTTAATTTTGCTTGATTAATTATATTGCAGGTTGTGGGTAACAGCCAGTCCATGGTAGCAGCACGGGAACAGCTTATTCCTCTGAACTTGTGTGCTTTCCGTTCAAAAACTGCAGGAACCTTAAACACAGACACAACCCCCTTCCCTTTGTGGTGTATCACAATGCACAATCTCAACTATTGTAAACACGATAATAAGTAGAGCAATCCTTCCTCAAAGTAAATCTTGTCTTCCAGTATTTTTCACGAGTCCAGTATAGTATTTAACTAGACCAAGGTAGCAAGAACTAGTTTATCTTTGTTAGAAATACAGAGCACATTTGCAGAATGTGTAAACGTCATATTTATAGGATTAAGCATGTTATCAGGTACAAAGTATACATAGACATGATTTCTGTTTGCATTACAAAACATAGACTTCAGAGTCACACAGTCAAACTAAATCTAAAATAGCTTAAATGTTTTCAACGGTGTGGCCTGGCTTGGTTGAAAGCCCACTCACCACGCCAAGGTGCAGGCCATGAGTGGGAAAAACAAGGTGGGTGTGTGTGTGTGTGTGCGTTTGTGTGTAGGGCGACACTAGCCAGCGTCCAGCCACAATAGAGTGTGTGTGTGTGTGTGTGTGTGTGTGCGTGCGTGCGTGTGTAGGGCGGCACTAGCCAGCGTCCAGCCACAATAGAGTGTGTGTGTGTGTGTGCGTGCGTGTGTGTGTAGGGCGGCACTAGCCAGCGTCCAGCCACAATAGAGTGTGTGTGTGTGTGCGTGCGTGTGTGTGTAGGGCGGCACTAGCCAGCGTCCTGCCACAATAGAGTGTGTGTGTGTGTGTGCGTGCGTGTGTGTGTAGGGCGGCACTAGCCAGCGTCCAGCCACAATAGAGTGTGTGTGTGTGTGTGTGTGTGCGTGCGTGCGTGTGTAGGGCGGCACTAGCCAGCGTCCAGCCACAATAGAGTGTGTGTGTGTGTGTGTGTGTGTGTGTGTGTGTAGGGCGGCACTAGCCAGCGTCCAGCCACAATAGAGTGTGTGTGTGTGTGTGCGTGCGTGTGTGTGTAGGGCGGCACTAGCCAGCGTCCAGCCACAATAGAGTGTGTGTGTGTGTGTGCGTGTGTGTGTAGGGCGTCACTAGCCAGCGTCCAGCCACAATAGAGTGTGTGTGTGTGTGTGTGTGTGTGTGTGTGTGTGCGTGCGTGCGTGTGTAGGGCGGCACTAGCCAGCGTCCAGCCACAATAGAGTGTGTGTTGAACATAATCACTTTCCAGGCACAGCCAGTTGGAGGTCCTTAACGGGTTTCAGCTCCTCCTTCAACAAATCAAAATAAGTTAGATTTCGGTTACCCAGCTGTTGGTATGAAATTACCTCCAAGGCATAACTGGAAAAGACAGACAAGTCAATACATGTATCGACAGAATGCTAGATTGAAAAGTCTAAATGGCTATATGAGTGTTGGCCATACCGACAGTGGTTGTCGGCGGGGCAGCCTAAGAAGAGGCTGGAGTTTTCCTGCTAAAAGTGCCTTTGCTTCCTCCGTCCAAAACGCAAAGCGCTGTCCATGCCTTTGAAATAATCAAGTATGATACTTTCAACATAGTGTCATCATGAAGAAGAACAACTATTTCCCTGTTAAAAAATTATCTTACCCTTCAATGCAGAACCTCTCCATTAGCTGCAAACACCACCACTTGCGGATGGATGGCACTTCACTCTATAATACACATGTAATGTCGGCGAATTTTAATCCAACTTCTGTGTTTCTACCAAAGTTACATGAATTAAAACTTACTTCCAAGAAGTCAAATGGAGCGCCAGTGCAGATGCAGAGTGCGTACTGTGAAATACAGAGGAAGGGTATGATGACAGTGACTTTAAACTACCAGAAAAACATTTTGTAGAAATTGCGGACATTTACCATCAGCATGAGGACACCACAGTGGTTTCCAGTAGTTTGTTGTGGGAAGCCCTGAAAAACACAAAACTGATTGTCATATGTTGTATCAGTGTGTTAGAAATACAAATAAAAGTAACATGTTCATGTGGTGGTCTATAAATGTGACTGACAGTGTTCTGCCCTTACAGCGCGTATCCCTATGCGTAGCTAGACAGTTAGCTAACATTTAAAAGTCCTCCAATAAAGATGCATGGTTTTCTTTCTTGACTTTACTGTTCTTCTTTTACTTTGTAAAACTGTAACAATACAGAAATAAAACACATAAGTATGCAGGCTTTACATAACATATAAGTAGCATTGTACAAACGACACACATACTACTATTAAAGGAATTAGCTATCATTAGCATCACTATTAGCTAGAAATAGCACAGATCACCATTAGCTAAATTAGCACACATTAAACTAGCTTCAGACCAAAAGTTACACACTTCAAACATTCTGCACATGAATAACTCACAGACAAATAGTCTCCAAGGCTCAAGCATCACAGACACGAACACAGTTTACATGACGTCTCTGCTCCATGTGTTGATCTCCATGTGTTGATCTCCGTGCTCCGTTTACAAAGATCCTCGCAAAGCAGCAAGCGCTCACTCTGACAAGCCCCCAGCAAACCAACAAAATCAAGGAGCGCTCACTCTGAGCCAAAAAACATGTCCCAACTCTATAAACATAGAAATAGGCAGCACACTCCCCGCTTGAGATAATAACATTATATCACGACAAATACAATTGAACTTGAAAGGGAATGTCCACTGAAAACAACATATTAAGAGTTCTTTCTCTAAGACTCTGCAAGAAGGACAACAATTTCTGTTACAGGCCTAAGGAACACCTTGGCTGTCCCGTCCTTCACAATCCGCACTTCTACTTTGCGGACCCTCTTGTCACTGCTTGGAAAAGTCTTAACAACCAATCCCATTGGCCATTCGTTCCTATGGGCTTGACTGTCTTTGAGAAGGACGACGTCTCCTTCTTTGACGTTCGGCTTGTCTTGCGTCCACTTCCTGCGGCTCTGCAGAGTAGACAGATACTCTCCTTTCCATCTCTTCCAAAAGGTGTCGGCAAGGCACTGAACTTGCTTCCATTGCTTTCCGAACAACTGAGCTGTATCGAAGTTTCCAGGAGGTGCTGAAACTGCACTCATTTTTTGAGTCAGGAGCATTGAGGGGGTTAGAACTGCAGGCATATCTGGGTCAGTAGACACAGACACAAGGGGTCTTGCGTTGATGATCGCCATCACCTCTGCCATGAAAGTGCTCAAAACCTCATGTGTAAGACGTACTGATCCCGTCTGAAGCAACATTGCATCCAGAATGCGCCTGGCTACTCCGATGAGCCGCTCCCAGGAACCACCCATGTGGGAGGCATGAGGGGGGTTGAAAACCCAAGAGCATCCTTTCTCCTGGAGGTACTTCCTGATTAATGTGTCGTCTGTGTTAATCCTTAACTCTTTTGAAGCCCCGACGAAGTTAGTCCCTCTGTCAGAGCGCAGGAGCTTTGCTGGACCACGAACAGAGAAAAATCTTCTTAAGGCATTGATAAAACTGTCTGTTGACATGGATTCAATCAGTTCAATATGCACCGCTCTGGTAGACATGCATGTGAAGAGCAAAGCCCAGCGTTTGCTGTCTGCAGCCCCTCCTCTTGTGCGTCGTGTCATGACCAACCACGGCCCAAAAACATCCAGTCCAACATTGGTGAACGGAGGTTCGGGTGTTAGTCTGTCAGCTGGCAGATCCGCCATCTTCTGATCTTCCAACCTTCCTCGCAATTTGCGGCAGGTAACACACTTGTGGATGACAGAAGATACCAGATGTTTACTCCCAACTATCCAGTATCCAGCTGCTCGAATAGCTCCTTCTGTAAAGTGTCGCCCTTGGTGAGCTACTTTTTCATGGAAGTATCTGACAAGCAGTGTGGCGATGTGATGATTGCGTGGAATGATCAGAGGGTGTTTTTCTTCTTCTGACAGCTCAGCCAATGAAAGACGACCTCCAACACGAAGAAGACCATCTTTATCCACAAATGGATTGAGCTTCTCAAGTGTGTTTTGCTTGGACCAAGTCTGTCCGTCTTCAAGACATTTGAATTCCTCTTTGAAGGCCTTGTGCTGGACAGAGCGGATGATCAAAACCTTGGCTTGTGAGAGTTCACTTATGCTGATTGTTTCTCCGAAACATTCCCATCCTTTCTTTCTTGCTTCGTCAGCCTTGCTTTTGAAGGAAGCGGCAACATGAATGAGTCTGGCTATGATCTGACAGAGCTTTTGCCAGCTTGAGCATCGCTCAAAGTGTTGAGAGCTCAACATGAACTCTGATACCTTGGTTGCCAGTGTAGACACTTCAGGACGTATCTCGTTGTCGGCTTCAGGCTCAATAAGGCTGAAGAGGTAAGGTTCAAGTGTCTCTACTGATGTATCCTGATACAGGAAGGCCGGACCTGGGAGCCAGCTGCTGTGTTGGAGTTGAGCTGCAGGTATAGACCTGGTGGCATGATCCGCAGGATTCAGGTCTGTTGGCACATAGAACCATTGGTCTGGGTTGGAGGATCTCCTTATCTGAGTCACTCTGTTGGAAACATACATGTAAAACCTTCTTGTGCAGTTGTGTATATATCCAAGCACAATCTTGCTGTCAGTGAAGAACTTCACTGCATCTACTTCAATGTCTATCTCATCTCGGATCAGCTCGTAAAGTTCCACAGCTAGCACAGCTGCACAGAGCTCCAGACGTGGAACAGTGTGGGCAGGGCGAGGTGCCAATGTTGACTTCCCCATGACAAATCCAACATGATAATGACCTTCAACATCAGCAGCTCTCAAGTACGCCACAGCTCCTATGGCAATAGTGGAAGCATCTGAGAAGATGCACAGTTCCTTTCTCTGTGTTGAGGCAAGTGAGATTGGAATGTAACACCTCTTGATGTGCAGCTCTTCAAGAGCCTTCAGTGAGTCCTTCCACTGGTTCCACTCTGTTTCCATTTTTGGGAGGAGAGGAGCATCCCACTCACTCTGTTCAGATGACAGTTCTCGGACTAGAGCTTTCCCTTTCATTGTTATAGGAGCTACAAACCCCAAAGGGTCATACAAACTGTTCACAGTTGACAGCACACCTCTTCGTGTGAATGGTTTCTCTTCACGGGACACCAGGTAAGTGAAACTGTCTGTTTCCAGGTTCCAGGAAAGTCCAAGGCTTCTCTGCAAAGGGAGAGGATCCACACCGAGGTCCAGATCCTTCAGGTCTTTTGCCCTGTCCTCTGCTGCAAAGGCTTTCATTACCTGGTTTCTGTTTGATGCAAGTTTGTGCAGTCGCAGGTTGGACTCTGCTAACATCTCCTGGGTTCGTTTGAGGAGATCTATTGCCTCTTCGGGTGTAGCAACAGAGGTGAGACCATCATCCACGTAAAACTGCCTCTCAACGTACTGTCTTGCATCCATACCATGTTCTTTTTCGCCCTTTTTAGCTGCTTGTCTCATGCAGTAGATAGCTACAGCAGGTGAAGGGCTGTTACCGAAAACATGGACTTTCATCCTGTACTCAACCACTTGTTTGGTGATGTCGTTGTCTTCATACCAAAGGTACCGAAGATAATCCCTGTGGTCTTCACGTACGAGAAAGCAATAAAACATTTGTTCCACATCAGCTGTAATGGCTACGGGCTCTTTTCGGAACCGTAACAGGACTCCCAACAGGGTGTTGTTCAAGTCTGGTCCACTAAGGAGCACATCGTTTAGAGATGTTCCCTCACATTCAGCACTTGAGTCGAACACAACTCGTATTTGGTTTGGCTTTTGTGGGTGATACACACCGAATGTTGGTAGGTACCAGTGTTCTTTTCCTTTGACCAAAGGTGGCGCAGACTCAGCTTGGTCATTGTCCAGCATCTTTTGCATGAACTTGATGTAATGTTCTTTCATTTCTGGCCTTTTCTCAAGAGATTTTCGTAAAGAGAAGAGACGTTTCAACGCGTGTTCCCTGTTGCTTGGAAGGCGTCGTCTAGGAGAGCTGAATGGTAAAGGAGCTACCCAGCTGTTTCCTTCGTCTTGGTAGACCTCTGCATCCATGATTGCAAGGAAAGCTTTGTCGTCTATTGAGAGTGCGATCTTGTTGTCATCTTTGGACCTGACGAACACCGAACACCCGAGATTGTCTGTAATCGCAGTGCAATCTGTGTTCTGCTTACATGCAGGGAAGGTGAGACTAGGATGCTGTGTCATGCCACTGAAGTCTTCTTTAACATGAATACTGTTTGGACATGGACTGAGATAAGATGTGCGACCGTTGTGCAGTATGTTGGTCTTGTAGACATTGACCTCTGATGGTTTGTGAGCTATCCCCAAGCATACTTCTCCCACAATGACCCAGCCTAGGTCTAGCCGTTGTGCGTAAGGTGCATTGTGCGGTCCATTGATTTGCTCACGTACTTTGTGCACCCTTAGGATGTCTCTCCCTAAGAGCAGAAGGATAGGAGCGTTTTGATCTACTGGATGAATCTTGTTAGCAACTGGCTGTAGGTGTGGGTGATGTAGTGCAATCTCTGGAGAGGGAATTTCTGCTCTTTCATCTGGCACCATGTCACACTCAATTAAGGGTGGTAAGGGAAGCTGTACTTTCCCCTCCACAGACTCAATGACAAAATTAACGGCTCTCCTACCTGAAGTCTCTGACTTCCCAGAACAGGTGTTCAGGGTGTATGGAGTGGAGTTACCTTTAACTTCAAAGAGGTTGAAGAACTCTGTCTTGGCTAGTGACTTGTTACTTTGTTCGTCCAACACTGCATACATCTTCATTGCCTTCTCCTTTTCCCCTGCAGGATATGCTTTCACCAAGATGATTTTGGAACATGAGCGTGAGCTATAACCCTCCCCACAAACCTCCGTACACTTTGAGGTCACTGATGAAGATGAGCTTTCACTTTGCTCCCCGCTTTCGTCTTTCCCAGCCGTAGCACTCTGAGCGTTTAAAGGAGGAGGGCCTGGATGCAGTGCGGCGATGTGTCTGTCACTGTTGCACTCGAAGCATTTGACAGTCAGTTTGCAATCTTTTGCCATGTGTTGAAAAGAACCGCAACATCTATAACAGATGCGATTGTCTCTGAGATATGCTTTGCGGTCTTCAAGAGTTTTCTCTCTAAAGAGCTTACATTTTTTCAGTGGGTGTGGCTTCTTGTGAATTGGACACTGGCGATCTGGCTCATCCAATTTTTTAAAAGTAGGACTGCTTTGGGTGTCTGCTGGCTCTTCTGGGATGTCTGTTTTGTGTACAGTCACAGAGGCTTTGTTGCTTGGTGTGGATATAATAAAGCTTGGATCGTTCTTAATCTTTGCTTGTTGCTGGACAAACTTGGCGAATACAGAGAAAGGAGGGAAGGCTACTCTGTAATCCTCCTTGTACTTGCTTCCAATGCTGGTCCACCTCTCTTGCAGATTATAGGGAAGCTTTTCCACTATTTCTCTTACCCCACGAGCTGTATCCAGGTACGAAAGCCCTGGCAGAGCACCTTCGTCCTTAGCACACTCAAGTTCGAGGAGAATGTCGCCGAGTTCTCTCAGTTTAGCATTGTCTTTGTTGGTGAGCTTCGGAAAGTGTTCTATTTTCTTGAGCAGTGCGTCTTCAATGACCTCTGGCGCCCCATAACACTCTTCAAGACGTTGCCAGACCATGTTCACACCTGCTGCAGGATTGAGTACGTGTACTGCACGAATTCTCTTTGCTTGTTGCATGGAGTCGGGCCCTAGCCACTTAGTCATCAAATCTAGCTCTTCTCTGGCTGTGAGATTCAAGTCCTTAGTGGCACTTATAAAGGAGGCTTTCCACGACCAGTAATTTTCAGGCTTGTCATCGAATTGAAGAAGACCTGCACTCACCATTTCTTTTCTGATGAGGTATCTTGCGAAGTCTTGTGCACTTTGTGACTCATACTGTTGATCAGCATGCTTCGGAGTACTGTGAGGGTAAGTATTTGATGTCGGTTCATTTTTTAAGTCTTTGTAGACTGACTTAGCTTGAGGTGGTTCAAACGTCTTTATTTTTCTTTCCTGTGCCTCCACTGCTACCTGTGTATGATGCGTTCCGGAACAGGTGTACTGAGACTGAGCTTGAACATATTTGGAAGTGCGTTGGACTGCACTGAAGCGCTCACCTTCAACAATGGGTTCTCGACTTAGCTTCACGCTTTCAGCATCTGCTTCTTCATAAGCTGCAGCTTCAGCTTCAGCTGCAGCTGCAGCTCTTTGGCACTGGAGCAGATGTAGACTGGCGTCAAAGTCAGCTTTTTGCTTTTCCAGGTCTGCCCTCTGTTTCATCACGTCAGCTTCTTTTTCAGCATAAGCTAATTGAGCATGAGCTGCTTTTGCCTTGGCATAGGCTTTCGTGGCTGACGAACTTGTTGCTGATGATCGCTGAGACGATCTAGAGGCTGCTCTGGATGAATATGACTTAGCATCAGAGGCTTGAGGATGTTCTTGCCACTTGGCTGTTTGATCCACAGTCTCTGCTTGCTGTTCTCCACTTGCTTCTTTGTGCGTAGTGGTGTCTTCATTATTATAGTTTTTCCCTGAGCGTAGACTCATGTTGGCTGTGTAGTGTACTATTACTTGAACCCGCCGTGCTCTTGTCTTTTTACTGTTCTGCCCTTACAGCGCGTATCCCTATGCGTAGCTAGACAGTTAGCTAACATTTAAAAGTCCTCCAATAAAGATGCATGGTTTTCTTTCTTGACTTTACTGTTCTTCTTTTACTTTGTAAAACTGTAACAATACAGAAATAAAACACATATAAGTATGCAGGCTTTACATAACATATAAGTAGCATTGTACAAACGACACACATACTACTATTAAAGGAATTAGCTATCATTAGCATCACTATTAGCTAGAAATAGCACAGATCACCATTAGCTAAATTAGCACACATTAAACTAGCTTCAGACCAAAAGTTACACACTTCAAACATTCTGCACATGAATAACTCACAGACAAATAGTCTCCAAGGCTCAAGCATCACAGACACGAACACAGTTTACATGACGTCTCTGCTCCATGTGTTGATCTCCATGTGTTGATCTCCGTGCTCCGTTTACAAAGATCCTCGCAAAGCAGCAAGCGCTCACTCTGACAAGCCCCCAGCAAACCAACAAAACCAAGGAGCGCTCACTCTGAGCCAAAAAACATGTCCCAACTCTATAAACATAGAAATAGGCAGCACAGACAGAGTGATCATTATGAAAACTGCAAGCATGTACATTAGTATGACACTCAGTCGACATAACACTTAAAACAATTACGTCAAAGTCACTGCCAGTTTTCTCGGTCCAGGTTCCTTTATCAAGACCATGTGCAATTTGTCTGAAAAGCAAATGAATGCACATAGTTACATATCTGCTGTGATAACCCTAGCTTAAACTAGGCCAAACCTTAACTGGGCTTATATCAAAACATGTAGCCATAGAACAAGGCTTATATAGAAATCTGAAGCCATAGAACAAGGCTTATATAGAAATCTGAAGCCATAGAACAAGGCTTATATAGAAACGTGAAGCCATAGAACAAGGCTTATATAGAAATCTGAAGCCATAGAACAAGGCTTATATAGAAACGTGAAGCCATAGAACAAGGCTTATATAGAAACATGAAGCCATAGAACAAGGCTCCTCATGAAACATGCCACTATTAAACTTGAACAGAAACAGTCAAACCAACTTGAAGAATATTGTTAGGCCACAGAACAGGGCAACATGTTAATCTTAATTCTGGACCTAAATGTGGTTCTGTATGCCTCATCTCCAAAACCACCAGGAAGAATAGAGTCAAAAAAAAGGATTTCCCTTTCTGTTATCAATAACACCTGCAACAAAAACATGTCTAAATGATCTCACTGCAAACACATTGGGAACATAACTTTGATATAGGGGAAATTCTATGTATCTCAATTTATCAATTTGTACTCAACACATAGCAGGTAGTGATCAGCGTGATCAGGTTGTCTGCTCCATGCAGGAAACAAAATGGCATCCTTAGAGCCAATGTTGTCCTGGTAGCATTGGAATATAAATACGATACATCATTTATAATTTCATGCAATTCAAATGTGTAAAAAAGTTATAGTACTGCACTGGAACTCACCAGCAGGCTAACCAGGGGGTCCACATTTGTGGTTTTCCAGGTGGGCACAGCAAACATGTCCACAATGTGAACATCTTTTCCCTGTTCAGAGTATTGATCATTACCTCAAATCAACCAACACAGAATGTAAAAGTGTAAGTTTATGAGACTATATAGAAATTACATGTCTCTGGGCAGCCTCCCCCACTATCTTCAGACAGGCATTTCCAATCTAAAAGTAATTAAATGAAAAAAAATGTTAGCCACATGAGAAACTGAACTTCAATGTCATTTTCCTTTGACTTTCAATCTAAGTGTGTGAAATTACAGCAACATGTGTGTACCAGTGGCGGCCGGTCCATAGGGGCGCTAGGGGCGCCGCCCCACCTCTTCCCATATTGAAAAAAAAAAAATTAAAAAAAAAATTAAAATTAAAATTAAAAAAAATATATATGTTTAAAAAAAAATATATATTTTTATTTTTATTTTTAATGAACAAGGTAAATATTATATAATTGGTATCAGTAAAATGTATAATCTACAATAAAATCTCGTTTAAAATTGTGTTACGATGTCTAAAGTTACTGATAAGTCACATGTTTCCTGCCTGGCCTTGCCCATGCATGCACCTTCTCTCGTCTGGGCGCTAAGAGAGGAGCCTTCAACCAGTGCAGCAGCAGCCACTAGCAGCTGACTGTTGCTATCTGTAACGTGTAAACTATGCCGCGAAAATATAATTTCAGCCAATCAGCGTCGTCAAAGATGACGGTCACCGGGCGCCAATGTCAGCGCCCAGTGCAGTCTGTGAGTAGTTTGGACAGTGACTCGTATCCGGTTGACGCAGTAGTTGATGAGGATGGCTTCGTGTGCAGGTGGAGTCTCCGGACCTCGGTCCTCGCCTAATTCTGTTCAAGAGCTAATCTCCAATCCTTTCGAAAGGAGAAGTTTGGCAGATAAATTGTTGCTTAAAGACCTTGGACCGGATCAACCCGATTTGAATATATCGCAGCAATCTCGTGAAAAAGACAACATTTATACACGAGGCTTCACAAGTAGCTGGTACACAAGAAAGGCTTGGCTAGCTGGATGCAAACAGGTAAATGCTGTCTTTTGTTTCCCATGCTTGCTCTTCAAACAGCCGGGGACAGATACAATGTGCCCGTGGACTGTGATAGGAGTAAACGATATGAAGCATTTGTCCAACAAAATTAAAAAGCACGAGTGCACTAAGGCACACATGACAAACACCTTTAAGCTAGCCATGCTAGGCAAAGCTAACATAGCCGCACAGCTAGATCAAGGGTACAAGATCTCGGTGAAAAAGCACAATGAAGAAGTGGACAAGAATAGGCACGTCTTGTCTAAAATAATTGATTGTGTGAAATTTTGTGGGGGCTTTGACCTGGCTTTGCGTGGCCACGACGAGGCTGACACATCCGACAACCCCGGCGTTTTTCTGGGTTTAGTTAATCTACTGGCCTCGTTAGATAGCGTGTTGGAGGATCACCTTAAAACGGCTACGGTTTTCAAAGGCACCTCAAAGACGGTGCAAAATGAACTTTTGGACTGCATGTTATCAGTTTGTAAAGACTACATTCTGGAGGAAGTAAAAAATGCCAGTTATTTAGCTATTCAGGCGGATGAGACAACTGACATTTCCACCCACTGCCAGTTAGTGCTTGTGCTACGCTACATCGACCCGCATAACAACGTCCAGGAGCGTTTTTTTGAGTTCATTCCTCTTCAGAATGCGAATGCTGACACAGTTGCCACCGCGCTGATGGAGAGGCTGGGCACTATCCTCCCCGATGGACAACAGGGCAAACTAATCGCCCAAGCCTATGACGGTGCAGCGGTGATGAGGGGAGCTAAAGGTGGAGTTCAGCGGAAAGTGAAGGATGTGTACAGTAGTGCGCACTACATCCACTGCTATGCGCATCAGCTGAACCTAATTATGCAGCAGGCAACATCCCACATCCCCAAGATAAGAACATTTTTTTCAGACCTTGGTGGATTTGCTGCATTTTTCTCCAGGTCATTCAAGCGAACTGCGATCCTGGATCAAGTGGTGGCACACAGACTTCCTGGCACTTCCACAACAAGATGGAACTTTCACAGTCGTGCTGTTAACACTGTATATGAGCACAAGGAGAACATCCTGAGGTGTTTCCAGACGATCAGAGACTCAGGTGACTTTGATCCCATAACAGTGAGAGAAGCCGGGGGCTTTGTGCGAATGATGGAAGATGAAGTTTTTTGCTTTTTCCTGACATTATTCCACAAGATCATGCCACATGTAGACATGCTGTTTAGCCAACTGCAGAAGAGGAACATCGACTCTGTCTACATCACAGGACTCATCAAGAGGTTCACCAGCAGCATACAAACAATCAGGTAAATCATTATTTACAATGGCTGAGATGTGCTTATTATAGGAAATCTGTGAAACCTAAATGTGATTTAGCTGAACACAATAGACCAACTCACACATACTTGTTTAAATATCTTAAACAGGCTTACTGGAAATGTATATATTATATAACGTTTATAAGGTGTATCTCTGACTACTATTTCAAATAGTCAAGTTAATTTGTCAATTCTTGCCACAATGAGTAATTGTACATGGTTACTTGTGGTTTGGATCAGGGACTCCATTCCTTCTGGTGAAAGCAGTGGATCTCAGCAGCTGCCCACAAAGAAACGGAGGGGACTTGGACATGAAGAGCAACAGCTGTTGGCTAGAGAGGTAAGCAGTAATAGGAACGTGTTCTATGACTAAAAGCTCCTTTCATAATATAGGTCATTTCATATCACAATAATGATACATTTCACAAGAAAGCCCATTTTCTGTAAATTAAATAAATAGGTAGGCTAGTTAAAATATCTACATGGAAAGGCCTATTGCTTATTACATTCTGAATTGTATACACTTAACAAGGCCTAAACTGCAAAAAGTGTCCCACAGTCTCTACATTTCAAAGGGGATCAAGACAGATCAGAAAAGGTTTAGGCTTCCAGAAGCAACCACAGTGGACAGAAAGGGCCCAACAATAAATGAATGAAGTGTAAACATAGTCATTAAATGTATATATTGTAGTGACTTAATTTTAAACAGTAATATTGTTCTGTTGATGCTCAGATAGATGTCCTGTTATTCTGATAGGTTCCATTCACAAGAAAGCTCTTTGTTTGTTACACATCTTATAGGGGACACTAATGACATTATGACTGATAGATGTGAAAAGGTGATTCTGTTATTTATTATGTCTTGATTTTTTCATTGTGCATTATTTCATAGGTATGTGATACCATACTGAGTCACGCAAAGGAGAGATTTTCCTTCACCAAACACCTCATCAGCTCCACCCTCCTGCAAGGAGACCTGTTCCAGCAGCACAGCCGAACATTCCCTGAAGCAGCGCTGGAAACAACTGTGGAGGCCTACCCTCTACTGGACAAGGCAAAGCTCAAGACGGAACTGTCCCTCGTCTATGACAATGACCAGTTCAGGGCTTGCAGTGGTGCTGTTACTCTGCTCCAGTTCTTCCTTGACAATAATCTGCAGGAGACATTTACAGAGACTGTCAGTCTTCTGAAGGTTCTTGTAACCACACCCATGGCTACGGCTGAGGCAGAGAGGTGCTTTTCCACTCTGAAAAGGATAAAGACTTTCTTGAGGAACAGCATGACACAGGATCGCCTGAATGCTCTGGCTATGCTGTCAATTGAGAAAAAACTCATTAGGAGCATTCCTGACTTCAACACCAGAGTCATTGAGAGGTTTGCCACTCAGAAGGAGAGAAGGGCAAAATTCCTCTACAAATAGACACACACACACACACACACACACAAGCTCTCGCAGCAAACACAGATGGCCGACCCTTAAAAAAATGCGTTTCATTAGAGAGACAATTAATGTTAATGCATAATTAATGCAGAATGTTGTGAAGTTACTTTTGGATACCTAAGATGTTTTGTTCAACCACAAAGTCCAGGAACATGAGTACTGTTTGGAAACCTGTTGCGTTCGACTCATTTTCCCCAGAGGAACAGTTGTTTCTTGTTTCCTTTTGTCTTTTTTCTGCCTGTTGCACATTTTGTTATTCAAAGCAGTAAAAAAGGTGCTATAGGCCAATAAGCTGGATATCACTTTATATGTAGAGAGTAGGTTTCCCATGGTTGTTAGAAGTTTATTAATAAGTGGGCATTTATCACAGAAGTGATTGTTCTGTCTCCACGTTTGTTGCATTGTCTGTGATGTATTTTCCAACGGTTATAGCTCCTGTCCCAGCAACACTACACGGTTTGCAGCTCCACCACATCTTTGGTTTATCTTCGGTGTCGCTTAAAATCTGCTTCCCATCGGACTAAAACCTCCACGTAATCTGAAGACAGATACTTGAAGTTATTTAAACCTTTTGCAAACTTTATGTTCTTTCTTGCTCTAGCCTTGCCAGTTACATTGTACATAACACATATATTATCATTATGCTAACTGGTTGTTCGTGTTAGACGATGTAGCTTTTTCATTTCTGAGTTATTGCTATATGTAAATAAGCCTGTTTGTAAATAATCCTCAGAGAAACAAAGAAAAAACACAATTTATGACATTTTGTGCTGTGGTTATTTTTTTTAAATTGCATTTATTCACAGTTCAGTTTGAAATGCTGTAGTGACTTGTATTGAACCACTTAAATATTTATAATTAATGCTACTGAAAATATGCTATTAATTTTATATCCCACATGCAGTTCACTGTAAAGCCACTTGGTGAAGGTGTTGGTTCATAAAACATGAACAGTTTTAAGAAAGAAAAATGCGGACCAGTTCTGAGAATACAAATTCCTGGTAAAGTATTAGATGTTCAGGTTGATAAATAATATTTTCCACACTGAAGATTATGGAGGTATTGATCAGTCTTCTCATATTTTTAAGCCTCGATTTCTCCTTTCCCCACCCCCTCTAACATCACCAGAAGTCATAATTTAAGGGGTCATTTCTCGAATTTTTTTTCCGGGGGGGTAAACCCCCCGGACCCCCCCGGTAGGTCACTTCCGGCAGGTCACTTCCGGTACGTCAAGAGCCCCACCAAAATAAAAGACCACCAGCCGCCACTGGTGTGTACAGTACTCACATTGGCATCCATGCACCGAGCTAAACCCAAAGTCAGAAAGTCCTCACGGGTGACACAGACATCTCCATCTCTGACTATAAGTTCTCCTGCAGGTTGACTGCTGTCAAGGACGTATTTCAGCTAAAAAGCAATTCAATATTCAGTTATCCAACAGTTGAGTAACCCACTATCATCCTCATTGCACTGCGTGTTGGCATAAGCCATCCGTCAATATGATGTTGATTGGATTTGTCAATTACCAGTTTGTCCTGAAGAGGACCCAAGTCCTTCCTCCATTTCTCTCCTCTGCAAGCATAGGAATGTTGCATTCCTTCCTTCGTTTTCAGATACTGGTGGTCATGGAGAAAAGCCAGCTTAGTCAGTCCACGATCTGAAAACACAAAAAGCATTTGTCTTTTGTGAATGATAGTCATTTCAATTGTTAGTCCTCCTGGACTGGGCCAGTTCAGGTTCCTGTATTTGTTATTCTATTTAAGAAAAAACAATCGTCAGATCTTAATTGCACCACAGCGGGTTTGATCAAGTAACAGGATTAAGAGGTTAAATTGAGACTCTTACTTTCCAATCTGTAATACGGCCTTAGCCGTGAGACATTCAGCTGCTTCTTGGTTCCGTTGCCTTTCACCACAGTGGCCACACCTTTGGAAGTGACACGGGCAACCGCAAATGGTCCTTGGTGATGGCTAGCCAGACCTTCTTTACGGGACCGTTTCATGGGGTTTTCGGAGATGAGCACCTCATCACCACTGTTGATGGAGCAAACGCGTACGTTTCGCTTACGTTTTCCATAAGACTTTTGCTGTCTTGCCTGGGCATTTTCTATGTTGTTAAGAACCTACAAAATCAGAGTGAATTGAAGTTAACATTCTCTCATATTAGCCTTTCAATGTCGGTTGGATTTGAAAGGGCACTGACCTTTTTATTCAACTCCTTCATTTGGCTCACCACAGTGTCAATGTCCTCCTCCGGATCTCCTATGTCAAATGTGTCTCCCATGGGACAGGCATTCATCACCTCAGGTAAGCGTGGATGCCGGTTGAACATCAAATACAAAGGAGTATGCTTTGTGGAAGCCTGGATACAAATAAGATGCGCATTTACCAAGGTAAAGGTCACTATTACCATCAGGTAAAGGTAACAAAAAACATTTAATGAACAACCAGGAGGAAAACACCATGAAACACTTACTTGCAAAGCTGTGTTTATGCCATACACAACTGCAGGCAGGTGGATGTCCCAGTCATTGTGATTATTGTTGACATATTTTCGAAGAGCCCGTTTGACATTTTGATTTGTTCGTTCATCCTAAACATTGAAAAATTGTTCAGAATAATATTTAATGATATTTTTCTTACAAAAGTCTGAAGACATGTACGAATTACATTAAAAAAATAATGAATTCATTACCTGGCCGTTTGTCTGAGGGTGATACGCACTGGACACAGAATGTTGGATCCCAAGAACCTCAAATATGTTCTCATTTAACTGTGGATAGTTCAAAAACAGGAATAGTTACAGTGGTTCTGACATTGATAACTGTTATATGTGGACAAAATAAAACTAACAGGAGCAACGTTTTTACAGCTCATGCCTGTAGCACGCATCAGATAGGTTTCTCAAGATGTAGCCCCTCAGTGAATTATTGGGAAGCCCCTACACCAGGGGTTTTCAAAGTGTGGGAAGGTGAGCCTCCCCTCAGAGAACATAAGAACAGCCGCGCCCCCCCTCCCAATTATTATTGCTATTATTATTATTATTATTGTTGTTGCTATAATGCAGGGGTATTATTATCCAGTGGAATGCCCTTACCTACTGGCCTAGTTAAATCAAAGTGGTTACTTATTTTTGTCTGGGCAGTGTAGTTTTACACACCATCTTATTTGACTTTCTCAGGGCAGACCCCCACAAAGAAAAAAATATATGTACACACGTAAGGTCATCATCTTAACAGTTTTTATGCTCGAGTCATCCGTGAGCAGAGCATCAAGTTGGCATGCCTATTACAGCTGAATGCGGCGATTACCATCTTGTTCAGCAAAACGCCTCACAAACGTATTAAGATCCAAAGCTTTAGTGCGTTTTGATTCAATGCTGAGCACAGCCAAACTTGACAGTCTCTTCTCTGTCATTGTAGACCGCAAATACCTTATTCCTTCCGTGTACTTGGGTCCGAATGCTTCTCGTTTTCTGCCGCCCGTTCAATTGAAATCGCCGCCAATCACATTTCCTCGCTCGCGCCAGGGTTACAAGGCTCGCGTCTTGTGCTGCATTCACTTGCACTCGGACATCAGGGATTTTCTCTGATAAATGTCCGATGAGCCACAACTTTTATTTCAAAACAAAGCTGCCAACTGGGGTGGCCAGACGCTGTCTCCTCTCTCACTTTAGGTAACTTCACTAAAAATCGATCCATGTTGCCGCTCGCATAAAGTTAGCTGAAGTTAACGAGCTAGATTTCACTGTTTCTCTTTATTTTTTTCTCACGCTGCGCCTCCCCTGAAGCTCTCTGGCGCCCCCCAGGGGAGGCGCGCCTCACACTTTGAAAACCGCTGCCCTACACGATTAAGTATTGCTTAGATAATTAAGCCAGAAGCAGGTACCTGATTGACGAACTCCTTGCCTTGGTCAGTGATGATTTTTCTGACCATGCCGAAAGTGTACATCTTTTTCACTACAGCTGCAGACACTTCAGCTACAGTCTTTGATGTGAGCGGCTCAGCTGCAACCCACTTGGTGTACAAGTCCGTCATGGTCATAACATATTTGTTCTCATTGGCCGTTTCACGAAGCGGGCCAATAAGGTCCAAACCGACTACCTCCCAAGCAGCTTTAACCTGATAAAATATTTCCTGTTAACTTCATGAATTAAATGCATTAGCCTTCCTTCAAATCCAAGCATGAAATACTGTACCTTTATAGAATGCAGAACTGGTGGCTGGGTTTTCATAGGGTCATCTAACTGGCAGCGATGACAACATCTCACCTGACACAAGAGTTAATAACACAATAACACTATATATATATCAAATGCTTCAGGAATCAGGACCATTTAAAATGTATATATATAACATGCTTCAGGACAAAGTACAACCATAACTTACCCAGTTAGTAACGTCAGTTTTAAGAGTTGACCAGTAGTAGCCAGCAATGACTCTGTTTCTGGTGCCTCTCAAACCATTGTGGTTGCCTGTTCCAGCGTTGTGGCACTCTGTGAGGGCAGACAGCTTTTCCTCCTCGGACAAGATTACCAAACGCATGTACTGCTGGTTGGAACCAATATAGAACAACCGGCCATCTACAAAACAAAGAGCTTAGTAACTTAACATTTTTTATTTAACTATTATGTCAAATTCACAATAACAAGGCACATAAACTTCAATGTTCATCACATCAATTAACACAAACACAAAAAAGGGGTCATTCAGGAATTAAATTATTATATTATAATTAATATAATAATAATGAAATAATAAATGATATTATAATATTAAATTATTTGTAAAATGATTGGGCTTTTATACTTTATTATTTGTAAAATGATTTGGCTTTTATACTTTAGCATATTTAAATACTTGTTTTGTATAGTATTATTTCATTTAGAAAGGCAATACAAAAGTCGGGACAGAGCTAAGTAACTAATGACATTAAAAGTAACTGCCCAGTAAGTCCTAACACAAAATAACGGGAGAATGAGAATGAATTACCTTTT